TGCCAACTCCCGCTCTGCCCGGTGCAGGCACACACGTTTATCCCAGCTCTGGGATGGACTGGGCTGTCCTGGCTGGGACTGCTGCAGAGCTGGGGCAGGGCAGCGGGTGATGGTGGCACTCAGCTCCCCGAGTCCACTGCCCTGTGGACTGCAGAACTACTCCCAGCCGCCGTCTGAGCAGAGACACAGCTCCAGGGGGTGGGGCAGGGTGGGCTCCCATCCAGCAGACACTCACGCATCCCCTCCACGGCCGGCCCGGAGCTGGCAGGTTGTCCATGGGCCCACAAGCCTGGAGGAGGGGGTGAGGGGTGGAGGGACAGGGCTGGGGGGTCCACACAGAAAGGTGAGCCCCACAGAGGATGGCCAGAGGTGGGGTGCAGGCTGGCAGGGCTCCACACTGGCTGTAGGTCTGGGGCTGTGCGGGGCAGGGGAGGACACCCCCCAGGGGAGGCTGGAGTTGGCAGGCTGAAGCCCAAGGTGGACAAGAAGGTCGCTCTGTTGGGAGGGAGGGACCCTCCCCACGGCTTCCGGCCAGCGATGTGCAGAGAAGAAACGCCTGTCCCTGCCAGGGCGACCCTCCCAGGGCCTGTGCCCACCCGCTGGCCACATCGCAGGCACCTCACCCAGGACACCGTGTGGTGGGAGGGAGCACAGCAGAGCTGCCAGCAGCTGAGGCCGTGCCCTGTCTCCCCACCTCCTGCCCGCCCGCCTCCCTGGCCAAGGTGGGCTTGGCTGGACGGAAAGGGCTCCCACAGCCCAGGGAGGGTGTCTCGTCTGAGCCTCCGGCTGGGCCTGGCCTTGGCTTCCCCCGGCTGCCGCCCTGTCCACTCGCCCTTGGCCGTGGCCACGCCCTGTTCTTGATGGGCCAGTCTGCAGCCCTGTCCGGGCCATCCGAGCCAGGCCCTGGGGGGCTCCACTCTGGCCACGCCCCTGGCACCACTCCCTGACCCTCAGGGAGACCCCAGGCTCTGGGCCCAGGAGGAAAGAGGGGGTCTGCGCGTGGGCTGTCCTCCCATGTCCTGGAGGGAACGTGCCGAGGACACGCGTAAGCAGGCCCAGACGGCAGCACGAGAGAGAAGGTGGCGTTGGGCTGGGTCTCCGTGGCCCTGCCCACTGTCCCCAGCCACAGGCCATGGGGGTCACCAAGACGCCCAAGGACCTGCCTCCCGACCTCCCCTCTGAAGCCCCTCTAAGTGATACCCAGGACCCGAGCCCTGACACCAGAAGACCCCAGGCTGAGGACCATGGGGGGAGGGGAAGGGGGAGGACGGAGGGGAGGTGGCTGGGGAAGGAGACACCCCCTCTGCCAGGCCAGGGACAGGGCTCCTGGTCCAGCACGGAGTTCTCCCAGAAGGGCCCAGGGGAGATCCGAGGGGGAGGGAGAACCTGCTGGTGGTGGCTGGTGCCGCCCTCCATCCCCCTCCCCTGCCCCCACGCAGCCCCCTTTCCTGAAGGACGAGTTCTCACAGCCACGTGTCTGGCCCGGCTGCAAAGCCTGGGGCACCACCTGGTGGTCAGGTCTGGGGTGGCAGGCCGCTGGGCCCCAGGACTCAGGAGGGGGCCAGGGCTTCCCCAGTGCCCCACCCACCCCACCCATGCACTCTGGGTTGGGTGGGGCTCCTGGCCTCCACACTGCTGGACTCCACTGCCTGCCTCTCCCACCTGCTCCAGCCACTCCTCACTGGTTTTGGCAAGCTGGCCTCCCTCTGGGTGCGAGCACGGATGGGGGGTCTGGGAAAGGGTCTGTGATCACCTCCATGGCACCAACGAAGGACTGGGCTGAGGGATACTGAGTAACTTTCTCAAGGCCACACAACTGGTAAATGATGGTGCTGGGACAGGACGGCACCTGCGGGACACCCAGAGCTTCTCGGGGTGCGGAGCCCCCGGAGTCTGCAGCCTCAGTCCCAGGACAGGCCCTCCCTGGGGGGAGAGTGGAAAGAACACTAAACGGGGAGTTAGAATTTAAGCCCAGCTCTGCCCTAACTCACTGTGCGGCTCTGGGCAACGTGCTTTCGCTCTCTGGGCCTTGTCTGACCCCAGAGGACGTCACACCGGACAATCTCCATGGGCTGGGGGCCGGGCCTCAGGTTCCTGGCTCGCACAGACAGGGGCTGGGCCTCAGGCTGCAGGTGAGTGACAGTGACACCCTCCCTCCCTGCCTGCCTCCACAGGGGAGTAGGTGAGCCAGACCTCTGTCCTCCTCTGTCCCGTGAGCCCCCCTCCTTCCGGGGCCTGCTGCCCTCAGCTGCCACCAGCAGGAGTGAAGGGGGCCCGTGGGAGCTGGTAATGACCTGACCTTGGATTAGCAGCGTTCAAGGTGCATTCACACTCATGACCCCGGAGGTAGGCAGGACCGCAGTATTGGCCATTTGAGGAAAGTCTAAGACCCAGGATGGTTAGGTGAGGTGCCTGAGGTCCCCCAGCGGGCAGGGGCAGCCTTCAACTCAGTGTAGTTTGTTCTCACCAGGTATCTGCCACCTGCTGTGCCCTGGGGCCACCGCTCTCGGAGCTGCCACACTTTCGTCCCCCACCCCAGCTCCCTGGCTCCTGTCACTGCAGCTGCAGGGCCTGGGAGAGCCGCCCCTGTGGCCAGGGCCCCTCTGCCTCTGACGTTCGCTGGACCATGATGCCCAGTCTTCGCTCCAGCCGACCTTCTGGGCCTCCCACTCTCCCCAGGGGCTGGAGCATCTCCCAGAGGCTGGTGGCCAGGGACCCGACAGGACACTCTAGGTGGGAGCCTGATGCCTGGGCCTGGTCCAGCTGTGGGCAGAGCAGCCTCAGGGGCCCCTCTCCAGGCCGCCTGACCTCTCCTGCAGCACCACCCGCTGGCCCTACTGCCCCAGAGCAGCTGCGCCAGCCTCTCTGCAGAGACCACGGCCAGTACCCGCTTGGTCAGCCCCATGGCTTCTCCGGCCAGTGCCACCCGAAGCTGGGTCAGTTCCTGCTCAAGGATGCCCAGGTCACGGCCCTCTAACCCAACAAGTAAGAGGGTCACTTTCCTATTTGAGAAAGTCCCCAGCGCTGCTGCCCTCCTGGCTATATATCATTACAACAGCCATCCATCACATTATTATCAGTGGTGATATTACTGCTAAGCCCCCAGAGTAATTCTGACATGCACTGAAATTTGGGAACTAACCCTACCCTCACCCAGGACCGGTGACATACTTGCGGGTCCCGTGCAAAATGAAAACGGGAAGCCCCTTGTTTAAAAATTAAGAATTTCAGGATGGCAAGGGCAGAACCTTAAGCCAAGTGAGAGCCCTTCCAAGCGGGGGGCTGTGGCAGCCACAGCTCACGCTGCCCCCACTCATTCTGAGCCCCTACGGGTCCCGTCTTCCAGCCCCCCCTCACCCCCCCCACACCATTCTCAGCAGGGGGTTCCGAGGACTCGCGAAAGGTGGGGTGTCTCCAGTCACATGACGACACCCTTGGTCGTTGCCATTGGTTGGCTGCGGCCGTGTTTTCACAGCCAATGAGGGGAAAGAGAGGGAGGCGTGGGCGTGGCCTGGCGCGGAGGGGCGCTGGAGGGCAGGGGGGAGACCGGGCGCACCTGGGCTGCTAGGACCTGTGCCCGCCCCACGTGCCTACAGGGGAATAAAGTTACCGTTGTCTTGTCCTCTCTTTCATTTCCTCTCTCACCACAGTAGACTGTCCCCAACGATCCTATCTTATCTTTTACGACTCAGGGCAGATGTGAGAAGGCCTTTCCTGTGCTTTGGAAATTATGTACAAGTAAAAGGCAATATAATGTAGCTTAAGAGGTAGACACGGGAGACATCTCACCCACCTTAAAACTGGGAACAGAAAACATACAACTCAGTTGAATAAATCTGCAATGTTTGTGACCTAAATTAATGCATTCAACAGCACTTTTTCGAGTACAATGTTTTACATATAAAGATCAGTAAAGGTGAGTCGGGGGAGGGGAGGGGAGAAATGAGAGGGGTGTGTGTGTGTCAGAGAGAGAGGAATTCTATTCAAATGCTTTGTGCAACAGTTTATTTTACTTATTTTGTTGAATGTACATACCAGAGTGTACAAAAAAGTATTTTTTTCTGGTTTAAAGAATGATTAAACATAAACTCCATGTTACCTACCCAAATTAAGAAATAGATCACCATGGTTTCCCTGAGGCCTCGCCTTAGCTGAGCTGCAATTTCTTCCTTTTCCTCTCGCCAGCTCTGCCTCCAGGAGTAACTACTAGCTGACACCTGTGTTAATTAACCGCCCGAGACTCTATGGTTGTGCCACTGTGTGTGTGCATCCTTAAACAGCAGCATGTTTACTGTGGCTGGTGTTGACCCGGATGTAAATGGATGGTCACACACTGTGTGTAGCTTATGTCATTTGTTTCTTTCCATCAAACTGTTTTTGAGATACATCCACGTTAATGACTAAAGCAGTTGTTATTCGTTTTTGAAACTTTATTCTATTTCATTTTCTATCCATTCTACTGCTGGTGGATATTGCATTGTTTCCAGTTTGTGGCTATTGTAACAGTCACAATGCTGCTATGAAATCTTTTCCCCAAGGCACACGTACAAAAGTTTCTTGTCTAGACTATAGCCTAGGAGTGGAATTGCTGGGTCAAAGCATATCATTCCTGGGATGGTCAATTTTCTGTGTCAACTTGGCTGGGATAAGGGAGGCCCAGGTGGCTGGTGAAACATGGCTTCTGGGTGTGTCTGTGAGGTTGTTTCCAGAAGAGGTTAGCACTGGAATCTGTAAAGGTGGTCCTCATCAGGGAGGGTGGGCGTCATCTAACCCCCTGAGGGTCTGAATGGAACGGAGAGGCAGAGGCAGGGCGAGTTTGCTTGAGTTGGGACCTCCACCTTCTGCCCTTAGACAGGGATGACTCTGGTTCCTGGGCCTTCGGATCACACCAGGACGGACACTGTTGGCTCCCCGGGTCCCCGTTCCTGGGCCTCAGGTCTGGACTGGAAGTACCACTGGCTTCCCTGGGCCTCCAGCCTGCAGACTGTGGGATTGACTGGTCTCCACAGCCCCTCAGAGTAAATCTCTTTCTATTCATCCACATGTAACCTATTGGTTCTTTTTCTCCAGAGAAGCCTCACTGATGTAATTCCCACACTCCACCTGCTCAGGTAATGGCTTTCTCCCATCCACACCCCTATTAGCTGTTGGCGAGAGTCCACAGTCTCACCAGAATTTGGGCAGACTGTTAATTTTCACAAGTCTGATAAAGTGACCCATTATACAATTATGGTTTAAATATTACAAATTGGGGTTTAGAGGTTAGGGTTACAAATGAGGCTGAACATTTGTCCATATAGTTCTGAGCCAATATTTGTATTACCTGTTCTTTGAAAGGTCTTTTTGCGTCTTTTCCTCATTTTTCTCTTGAGATGCATATTTTCTCATTGATTTGAAGGGGTCTTTAGAGACATGAATCACGGACAGTAACTGACCTGATCAGGCAGCAGATCCATCTCCCATTCTGTGGCTTATTCTGTCACGTTCTTTATTGACTTTTGGTAAAACATGTTGAATTTTAATACAGTCAAATTAATTTGTTTTCCTTCATGGCTTTGCTTTTGACATCTTAGGAAATCCTTCCCTACTTCAAAGTAATACAGATATATTCCTATTCTAGCATGTTCTAAGATTTATAGCTTTGCCACTTCTATATACATTTTTAATACACCTGGAATTCATTTTCATGTATAGAATAAGGTAGGAATTCAATTTCACTTGCATAACCAATTGTCCCCGAACAACTTATGAAATAGTTCATCCCCTCCTGTTGGTTTATGGTGCCCACTGTGTCATAAGTCAAGTTTCCCAATAGGCCTGGGTTTATTCTTCCTGGTCCTGTGTGTGTTTCCTGATGCATCCAAACTACACTGTTTTAGTTATCAATACTGTAGTGATACTGAGCCTTGACATCTGATAGGGCAAATTTCCTCCTTTCTTTTTTATTCTCCTTCAGGAATTCCCTGACTTTTTTTTTTTGACTCTTTGTTCACCCACATAAATTTTAGAGTCACTTTGTCAATTTATGTGAAAAGCCCTGTTGGAATATTTTTTGAAAATGTATTGAATCTATAGATGAATTTGGAGCGAACTGATATCTTTGTAGTATTATCTTCCTATCCAGGGATGCAGTCTGTCCATTTACTTATGCCATTTAAAATTTCTTTCAAGGGACTTCCCTGGTGGTCCAGCGGTTAAGAATCCGCCTGCCAGTGCAGGGGACACGGGTTCGACCCCTGGTCCGGGAAGACCCCACATGCAGCAGAGCAACTAAGCCTGTGCACCACAACAACTGAGGCTGCGCTCTACAGTCCGCGAGCCACAACTACTGAGCCCATGTGCTGCAACTACTGAAGCCCGGGCGCCTAGAGCCCGTGCTCCGCAACAAGAGAAGCCACCGCAATGAGAAGCCCGCGCACCGCAGCGAGCAGCGGCCTCCGCTCGCCGCAACTAGAGAAAGCCCGCGCGCAGCAACAAAGACCCAACGCAGCCAAAAATAAATAAATAAAAAATAAAATAAATTTATTTAAAAAAACAGCCTATGGTTTAAAATTTTTTTTCTTTCAATAAGGTTTTATAATTTCTCCATTATACATCTTTTATTAGCTCTATTCCTAGGTATTTTACTTGTTGCTATTCTAAACGATATCTTTTTAAAGTTACATTTTCCAGTTGAGTGGAGCTGTTTACGGAAATACAAATGTATTCGGTTATTTTATCCAGAACGCTTGTTGAATTCTTTTATGAATTTGTATATTTTGTAGATTATTCTGCGTTTTGTATATAGACAATCATATCATCTGCAAGTAATGCTAGCTTTGTTTCTTTCTTTCCAATTCCTACATATTTACTTGTTATTCTTGCACTGGCGAGGAGCCCCAGTACACTATTAGCTATACATGATGACTGTAGGCATTTTGTCTTGCTTCTGATTTTAAAGAGAATGATTTCAACATTTCAAAATCAATTACGAGGCTTGCTGCAGGTCTTTGTAAATGGCCTTTATGGATGTTATGGTTATGGATGTTTACTTCTTTGCCTAGTCTATAAGAGTTCTGTTTTTTTTTTTAAATCACTAATGTAATAACAAATGTATTAACATGTGCAAGGATTGTTCTAAATGCTTTACATATATACATTATTTTAATCCTCACAACACACCTATGAGGAAAGTACTATTATTATTATTATTATCTTCATCACTACAAATAAGGAAACTGAAACCCAGCGAGATTAGAGAGGGCAGCCTGGCTCCAGAGTCTGTTTGTAGCACTCTCAAACTTCTCATTGGATGCTGAATTTTATTAAATCCTTCATGTACATCTATTGAAATGCTTGTGTGGTTTCCTCCTTTATTTTATCTACGTGGAGAATTACATGAATCATTTTCCTAATATGATCCCAATATTGCAGCTCTGGCACAAACCTACCTTGGTTGTGATGTATGAACATTCCCCTCCTGCTGGATTCAGCTCTCCAACATTTGTTAACGATTCTGCATCTACGTTAATAAGTTAGACTGGTCTATAATTGTCCACCTTTGTACTGTCCCTGCGGTTCTGTCATCAGGTTAGACTAATCGTATTTAATAAGGTGGAGAGTTCCCCTTCTTTTTCGAGTCTCTGGGGAAGTTGGTTAAGATTATAAATGTTGGGCTTCCCTGGTGGCGCAGTGGTTGAGAGTCCGCCTGCCGATGTGGGGGACACGGACGGGTTCGTGCCCCGGTCCGGGAGGATCCCACATCCCGCGGAGCGGCTGGGCCCCGTGAACCATGGCCACTGAGCCTGCCCGTCCGGAGCCTTTGGAAGAACTTTTCACCTACCAGACTTTGGGCTGTTTTCTTTGTGGGAAAATGCTTAGCAACCAACTGAATGTCTTCACTGACATAAGACTATTCGGGTTTTCTGTCACTTCTTGAGTCTGTTTTGGTAAATGATTTTTTTTTTCCCTAGGAATTCACACATTCCGTTGAAATGTTCAAATGTCTTAACATCGAGCATTTAATAGTACCTTTTGTCTCTGCCGAATCTGTAATGTGTCCTGTTTTTCATTCTTAATGTTTTATTTTTGCCATTTCTTTTTTTCCCTTGATCATAATCATAACAGAAGTTTTTCAGTATTATTAGCCGTTTCAAAAAGACAACCTTTGAATTATATTATCCTTTCTGCAAATGTGTAATAATTTACACACTACTATAATTTCTGCCTTTCATCGTTGTCTTCTAAGTTCTTTAAAGTTGTTCTACTTTTTTTCACTTTAAAGAATTATTTGCTTTATTCTTTAAACGTTATTTCATTTATTAAAAAGTTATTTGCTAAATGCCATGACAACCTCTAGATCTCAGTAGCTTAGTATGGTTCAGGTTAATTTTCATATCACGGCCCAAGGCGGGCTGGTCTGGAGGACTTGCTCTCCCTGGAAGCATTCAGGAGGGAGGGGTCCTTTGGTCAGTGGCTCCACCGACCTCTAGAGCTACAGGGCCCTACAAGAATGCTTGGCATCAAGCTGGGCATTGAAGGAAGGGAGAGACGGGATGCCTGCACAGCCAGTCCTAAGGGGGCAGGCCCGGAAGTAATTCCCATCACTTGGCCCTTGTTCCCTGGGCCATGATGCAGTCACGTGACCTACCTAGCTGGGAGGCTGGGAAACTGTCTATCACAGATCCTTCTCTTATTAGTTTAGAGCTTTTTTTCCTTTTCAGGGTTGAGTGTATAAGCTATCAATTTTCTTTTGCATTTGCTTTTCACTGGATCCTACGGGTCTTGATGTGTAGTTTTCATTCTATTTATCCTTCAGTTCTAAATGTTTTCCTCTTTTCCATTATTTTTTTAATTTGTTTGAATCATGAATTGTTTAAAGATACATTTTGTTAATTATTCTTGTATATCTGTCCATTTCTGCTGTAGATGTTTTGTGGCTATATTTTTATCTATATTTGGGGGCTCTATTTTTAGGTCCACACCAGTTCAGAATTGTTATATTTTCCTGGTGATGTAAACATTTTAACCTTTTGCAGTGACTCCGTTTATGTCTAGTAATGGCGTTCGCTTTAATATTATTTCTGTGCTACATATAATATAGTTATATCGGAGGGTTTGTTTGTTTTTGTTTTAGTTTTTGGCTAGTATTTACTTGAAATATCTTTTTCATTCTTGCTTTACACCTTTCTGGGTCCTGTGTTTAAGTGTGTCTTAGTAAACAGGATACAGCTAGTTCTTTAAAATCTAGTCTGGTGATTTTTTTAACTGGAGGATCTAACTCGCATTTACTGTGATTACCGATATATTTTCTATTTATTTGTATTTGTCCCAGGAGTTCTGTTTCTCTTCCCCCCTCCCCTATTTTATTGGAAGAGACAGACTATGAGCAAATAAACACATAAATCGGTCACGTCACTTCAGATAATGATAAGTGCTCTGAAGGAAATAAGCTGGGGATACAGGGAAGAAATAGAGATGGGGCGGACACTCGGGGAGGGTGGTGAGGAGAGGCTTCTTCAAAGAGTCTCCATTTGAGGAGACACTTGAATTAAATGAGGAGGGAATGCAGGATAAGACCTGGGAGGAGCAAGGACAAATGACCTGAGATGGAAATTAGCTTGAAGCAGAGTGGGCAGGGGGAGGCTGCAGCAGGTGTGTCGAGAGAGTGGGCAGAGACCAACTCAGCTGGATTTTACCACCCATTCGGACCAAGAGCAAAGGAGAGGGCTTCCAGCAGGGCAATAACATGACCTGCGTCATATGTTCTAAAGACCACGTTGGCTACTGCACTAGCCTAAGTATACTGTACAAACCATGCTGGATTAGACTAACGGAGCCGGAGTGGAAATAGAGGGGCAGGAAGGGGATGAACAGTGGTCCAGGTGAGACATGATAGTGGATTTGACCAGGATGATCATGTGGGAGTGGTGACAAGTGGTTGGGTTCACCATCTCTTTGGAAGGTGGAGCTGATAGGACCTACCTGATGGATCAGATGTGGGTTGTGAAGGGATGACTCCTGGTTTTCTGTTATGAACAACTGGGTAAATGATGGTGCCATTTACTCAGGAGGGGAAGACTGGGGGAGGAATGAGTGTGTGAGGGAGTCAAGAGTTCTGCTGCAGACATATTTTTGAGATGCGTGCTAGACATCTAAATGGAGCTGCCCAGGAGGCAGCAGATTTAGGGAGAAGTCCTGCTTGGGCATTTGGAAGTCACCAGCATCCAGATGGAATTTACCCCCTCCTTTGCCCCCCTCCTCCCACTCCTCTTTTCCCCCTCCTCCTTACTTGCCCTCTTTTTGATTGACTGCAGTTATTTTTCTCATTCCATATTTTGTTTGGAAGCTGTACACTCAGAATCTATTAGCTTAGGCTTAACTCTAGTTATTGTTAATAGGTGCAAAAGTTTAAGAATAATAATATTCTAGCATATTTTATCTCTGATCACTCTTCTAAATTACACCTAATTTTTGTCCAATATTTTAGTCTATCCTAGTAGATATTATTACTATTATTTGCAGCCAGCATTTTTTGTTTACCCAAATATTTTCAAATATCTTTGCTGACCATTTTTTCTTGCATCTCAGAACTTATCTCTAGAAATCATTTTTCTTCTGTCTGAGGTATAAAATGGAAATTATTCAGAGTTTATTGGTGGTAAACTCCGTTTCTGTTTTTCGGAAAAAGTCCCTATTTTGCCCTCATAACAACACATGCAGTGACATGAAATTACCGCATCATCAAGAGATTTATACATGTTAAAGCTTTTGATACATATTACTTCCCGGGAGCCTAGGAGGCTCAGGGGCCAGGCCTGGAAGGTGAAGGAGGACCAGAGCTTCTGGTGGAGGTGGTGGGTCGCACAGCATCCCGTCCCATCTGTGACACAGGGCCCATCTGTGACACCGGGCAGTGGGACTGTGGAGGGGCAAGCTGGGGCCCACAGAGCCCGCGCAGCAGTGCTATTTCCCAGCCCAGACTCCACCCAGGGAAGCCTCCGGCTCTGAACAGGATTTGGCCAGACAGAGGCGTGCAGAAGACACGGGGCGGGGGGTGGGGGGTTGGGGGGCTGTCTCTCCACCACGCAGACCCTCGGAACGTTCCCAGCTTTCCCAGCCTTGGAGCTGACTGCACAGCCCCGGGATGCAGAAGAGCCCGGTTCTGACCCAGCTCTTCCCTCCAGCCAGAAGCCCACCCCTGGCTGGAGCCTGGCACAGAGGCTCTGCACTGGGAATCTTCCCCCCAGCGTGCAGACACCAAATTCACTTGCAAATGGTTTGCCAGTGTTAGCCAATGCTTTAATAAAGAAACAACATACAGAGAGCAGCTGTCCCAGCACACACACACACACCTGGCTCCCGCCCAGGTCCTCGGACCCCCGTGCCCTCCCCTCACTGTGGTCACTCAGGCACAGCCCATCCTGCCCTCCCCCCAAGGGGTCTGGCCTCCATCCTGCAGACACATCCGGTTCCCTCGGCTCCCCCAGGCAGGAGGCTTGCTGCCATCCTGTTCGGTGACTCAGCTTGGGGCTGGGAGGCCGAATGCCCACTTCGTTGTCTTCCCCAAAGCCTCCGTGCCCTCCAGGAGGAGCTTCCCCAGGAGCCCACTCACTCCCCTCTCCCTGGGGCTCTGGGCACTGCCAGCATCCTGCATCCTCTGGGACTGCCTCGCCAGGCCAGTGCGGTGTGAGAAGTGAACCTTCGAGGATCTGCCTTCATTCCAAGGCTGTGGGGATGGGCTGGGCCACTCCAGGGTTTGTCGGGGCTCAGAGCCAGATTCTGCAAAACACAGAGGACCAGGATCCCGGCTGTCGTCGTCCTGAAGGCCACCGCAGGGGGTCAGGTCGTGGGGCTCTGCCACGGGCGTGTGGGTTCAGATCCACAGCCACCACATGCTCTCCAACTTTGGGCAAAGTTCTTCCCTGGCCCCGTGGGGAACCGTAATCTCCCCCAAACGATAGGTGTGCACACGAGCTGGGCACTGCGAAACATTCCTTTCCCGGGTTGAAAGGGCCATGGCTGAACAAAGGTCAATCCCGATTAATTAAAAACGTTTAGGAGTTACTTTTTTTTTTTTTAACTATTCAAAATATAAGATGCTATTGGGGACTAACACAATATTATAAATCAACTATACTCCGATATAAAATAAAAATTAAAAACATAAAAGAAATGTACTCTAACAATAATAAAAAAAAAAAAGGCTAGTTTTCTTATTAACACACATTATTTACTTTACTGGGGAATACCCATGAGAGAACTAGAGTGGCCTTGAGGCACTAGGTGCCCCTCTCCGGGCATATTTATGAAGGTGCAACTGAGAAGAAGCCTCTTTCTTTCTCATTCAAAATGGGTCACGAGGCCATTGTGGGAAGCTTACGTGGGTGGCACGTAGCCCCTCAAGCCAAGAGCTGCTCACCAGTGATCTCATCCACTGCGATGGGCAAACCAAGGCCCCAGGAGGGCCGGAGGTGGAGGTTAAATAACAGAGCTCATGGAGAGTCAGGCGGAGAACCGCGCTGTCCTGACTCCAGCCCACCCCTCTAGAGGGCACCCTGAAGGCAGATGGGAGCTGCGGCTCTGGTCCTCCTCCCCCCACCCCACCCCAGCCAGCTCGCCCCCCTGTCGGGTAGCGTCTCACCCACGACGATGAGGGTGGCGGTGCTGACGGCCTGGCCCAGTGTGTTCTCGGCCACCGCCTTGTACTTGCCACCGTCCTCGGCCGAGACGCTGGGGATGACCAGGGAGCACACGCCCAGCAGGTCGGTGCTGTACACGGCGGGGTCGCCTGCCAGGCTCTGGTCGTTCTTGAACCAGGTGACACGGGGCCGTGGCCAGCCCTGCACGGCGCAGGTCATGCAGCACTCAGAGCCCAGGGGCAGCAGGTGGGTCCGCAGGCCCACCAGGAAGCGGGGCTTCTGTCTCAGGTCGGGCTCCTGGTAGCTGGGAGCCTTCACCGTGACCCTGTCTGCGGTGGAAACGGGCAGGCGAGGAGGGTCAGAAAGAGAGAAGGGCTGCGGCGAGTCCCAAGCCCCTGGTGAACTCGGGCACTGCCTGGACCTTCCCGCCATGTCTCACCTGCAGACTTGGCCCCAAGGCTGCTCTACTCTTTTTTTTATCCTTTTCTTAAAATAATTTTTGGACTTTTTTTTTTTCTGTACTACAAGCTAACACACAGTGTGAACAAATTGGAACATACAAGAAATAAAAGGAGAAGGAATAAAAACCAAGCACAACCAATTACCTACCGATGACCGCAGCTAGCATTTTGGTGTGGAACCTTTCAGACATTTTTCTACTTTAGAAACTCGTGAAAGTGAGAGAACGAGCGTCTGATTTTACGGCCTGCTTTTTCTGGCAACTGCTTGGAAGGTTCGCATCTATTTGACTGTAAAAGACTCTGTTTTCGGAGAACCACTGGTCTCTGTCTACCTTTTCGTCTGCCACTGACTTGAGAGGCCACCCAAGACCCGCAGACAGCTCCGCTCCTCGCGTTCTCCCAGCGGAAGAAGCGGGACCCACCCTGAACCGCAGACGCGGAGGACACGGGTGCCGGTGGGCGGGGCGGGAGGTGGGAAGAGCGATGGACCGGCGGCTGTCCCCGCCCCCCGGCCTCCGTCCCCGCCCCCCGGCCTCCGCCCCCGCCCCCCCGGCCTCCGTCCCCGCCCCCCCGGCCTCCGTCCCCGCCGCTGTCCGCGCCGAGCTCACCTGGCGGCTGCCGCGGGACGACCCAGGGCTGGCGCGTGTCCGAGGGCTCGCTGGCGCCCAGCTCGTTCTTGGCCACCACGCGGAAGTGGTACTCGTGGCCCGGGAGGACGCCCACCAGCGTGAAGCGGCAGGTGTGCAGACGCTCGGCCTCGGGGCGCCAGGGCGCGTGCGGGGAGGAGCGCGTCAGCACCGTGTAGTGCAGCGGGGCGGCCCTCCCGTCGGCCTCGTCCGGGGACGGCACCCACTCGACGGTCACCGAGCCCAGCGTGCCCTCCCGCAGGAGGATGGGCCCCGGGGCCCGTGGGCGCGCTGCGGGGACAGAGGGGTCAGGCTGGAGCCGGAAGTGCCCCACCTGGCCCTGCCCGGGGCCCTGAGTCTTTCCAGGCCCCCAAGCCCTGCCCGTGGTCCCCACTTCTTCCAGGGCCCTGGAGACACGGTCTCGCCAGGCAGGGGGCTGGAGCCAGAGAGAACGGGGCCAGTTCTGCAGTTACTGCTAGAGGGTGGGAAACCTCCAAAAAGACTCGTTTTAATTCACTTTGCCTTGTAAGTAGAATGACACAGGAACAGAATGGGGGCTTCCATAAGACCAAGTTACAGAGCTCTCGCTGTTAGTTGCCCATCACTTCTGTGTTTCAGAAACCCCTCCGGGGCTGGGGCTGGGGGAGACCACCTTTATCCCAGGGGCGGACCACAGACAATTCTTGCCACCGCTCTTTGGAGTGATGTGATGGTGGTGACTGTCTCCACTCACTGACCCGAAATGAGGGACAACAGAGGTCCGGGGAGGGCTGTGCTCAACTGTCCCCAACACCCCGCCCCCGGGAGAGGACAGTGATACCCCCCCGGCCCCTCCTCCTTTCTCCCTTGGGGTGCATAAGAAGGGTCGGGGCGTGGTCACGGGCACACCCAGGCGGGTGGAATCCCGCAGACCTGTGACCAGGCCCTGGGGAGCGGCCCAGCCGTGTCCAGCCCCAGCCCGGGCCTGCCTCACCTGCCACCCTGAGGCGGAAGCTATAGGTGGCCTCCTCCCCCCGCGGACTCCTCAGCACCACAGTGTAGAGGCCGCTGTCAGCGAGGCTGGCCACGGGGACCAGGAGCTGGGTGAGGCCATCCTTGACGGAGGTCACACTTCTTTTAGGCAAGGGCAAGCCATCCTTTAGCCAGGTCACATCCGGCATGGAGGCGGCCTGGGACACAGAGGAAGGAGAGGTGAGAGGGGAGTTTCTTGGAAGCGATGGCTTTGAGCTGGGCTGAAGTGTAAGTGTGAGAAGAGCATCCTGAGAGGAGCATCTGGGTAGAGCCACGGGGGGAGCAGGGGTCGGGGGAAAGGAGAGGAGGCTGCAAAGGGGCGTTTGCAAACACGTTAAGGGCCCCGCACATCACACCCATACAGACACCTGCGTCTCATTCTGTGAGCCACGAACTGCTGTTGTAAGGTTTAACCAGGAATTAGATCTGGATTCACACGGCTGGGGTAGCGAGGGTGGGTGGAAGTGGGGAGGACTGGTGGGAGGGGAGTGCTGACCACCCTGGTGCCCAGGCTGGGGTGCCAAGGGGCGGTATGACTTGGGGGTCCCTGCAGTAGTCCAGGAGGGAGAATATGGTTGCCTGACCCTGACCAGGGTGGGGGGACCAGTCCAGCTGCGTGATGGCTGCACCACCAACTCCCATGAGACCCTCAGCTCTGGGTGTCAGAGGCACCTGGGGATGCTAACAGTGGCCTACCTCACAGGCTTGTCTGGGGACCCAAGAAGTTAACGACGATATGGACAGGGCCCAACACAGAGCAAACACTTGGTGTGTCTTAAATATTTTTGTCATCATTACCATCGTCATGATTATGGTCTAATAGCTAAGAACATGTAATTTAGAGTCAGATCTGGGTTTGGGTCTGACTCCGCCACCTATGAGTTTCCCACGCAGATGATGATGATTTTAACAACAACAACAACAACAATAACAATACATACGGGGCACTTGCCATGTGCCCAGCACTATTTATGTGCTTTCAAGTATTAATTCCTTGAATCCTCAGAACAACCCTTTGAGATAAGTTACTATTAAATACCCTCGCTTGACATGAGGACGTCGGAACACAGAGAGGTTAAGTTATGTGTCCAAAGTCAAACAGCTAGAGAGCCATGAGGTCAGAATTTGATTCCAGGCACCTGTGCTTCTAACCACACTGGCTGCTGTACTGCACGTACAAACACAGGCTACGTACTCTCACAACAGACATTCTGAAGTCAAGGGGCATCACCCCGATGCAGGGCACCCTCCCCAGACTAAGGAGGTGGAGAAGTGGGTGGGGGGAGGGGACGAGGCGAGGGTTTAGAGGTGCAGTACCAAAAGCCACCACCAGAGGGCGTCGTGGACAGGAGCAGAGTGGCCACCCAGCTTCCAGGGGAGGGCTGTCCCTGCCAGGAGGACCCTCCCCTCCCCTTCCCTTCTCTTTGTGGCCTGATTTCCAGCACAAGCGCAGGTCCCTGACTAGTGGACAGAAAGGAACCGGGAAGAAAGGAGGCCCACAGGGCTGAGACTGCCTGCTGCAGCCCACTAGATGTGCTCACCTCAAAGTGGACAGGCACACGAACTGTGTCCCCAGCTCTGACCGTCAGCGAGTCCTTCGTGCTGGCGTCCATGAGGAACTTGGGACAGACTGGAACACACGGGGTGGCCTGTCAACTCCCTCTGCATTTGGGCCCCAGCCCTGGTCACCAACCAGGCAGGGCTGCAGGGGGACTAGACGCTAGGCCAGCCCAGTGATGCTGAAACCCCACTGGACATAGGACAGGGGGCCCTGCAGGAACTGGAGAGGGGGCCGGAGGGGAATCCTGGGGGGAGCCGCAGGGCTGGGGGGGGGGGGAGCGGGAGGGGGGCTGAGAAAGGGAAGCCGTCAGGGGCAGCCATGCTGAAACCCCACTGGACATAGGACAGGGGGCCCTGCAGGAACTGGAGAGGGGGCCGGAGGGGAATCCTGGGGGGAGCCGCAGGGCTGGGGGAGGGGGGAGCGGGATGGGGGCTGAGAAAGGGAAGCCGTCAGGGGCAGCCTTAGGGTCAGGTTGCAACGGAGGGGGGTGGTGAGAAACTAGCCCAACTCGTGTTTTTCAGATGAAACAACTACCCGTCTGAGGCAGGAAGTGGCCCCAGAGCCCGGAATTTGGGGCAGAGCCAGGACGGGCTCTGGGTTCTGGCCAAAGACTCAGGGTGATTTTCTTTGTATGTCTCCCTTATCATCACAAGGACAGCTGGGGTCTGTTGGGGTGGCCCAGTGTCAGCTTGGGCCAAAGACAGGACAGCTGCTGCAGCAGTTAACGCCCCCGGGGAAGACAGTCCACCTTCGGGTAACAGGGATGGGGGCGTCTTCTGCATTGACGTGAACTTGGGAGCTGAGGGGCAGCCGGCCTTCTCAGGCCATGCTACGGAGGCAGCAAAGGATTCTGGAGCGAACCTGGGCTTTGGGGTCAGTCACCTGGCTTGCACCCGGGCTCTGCTGCATACCAGTGGTAAGGCCCAGGGCAGTGTACTGCTGACCTCGGTTTCCTTATCTGTAAATTGGGGATAGTACTGATCTTGTAGGATTTTCATGAGTTACAATGAAAACGCGTTTCTGAAAGGGCCTGCCTAGCCCAGTGCCCTGCTCTTACTAGGTGCCCAGTATGTGACACTTCACTAAGCTGGGGTGGGGGTGGGGGTCCCGGCTCAGCTAGCGCATGGGTGCAACTCAGAGGCCCTCCCCAGGAAGGGCATGGGCTGGAGGAGGGAGGTGGACTCACCACTGACGGGCATGGCTTGCACCACTGTGTCCAGGGCAGTGGGCGGGCCTCGGCCCCCGTCATTCACGGCTGTCACCCGCACAAAGTAGCCCTCCCGAGGCCGCAGCCCCTTGATAGTGTAGGTAGTGCCCGGCACGGTGCCTGCGTGGCACGGACTCCACTGCAGGCTGGCTGAGTCGCCCAGCTCTACCACGTAGCCCAGCGCTTCGTCCCCGTCCTGGGGGTCCGGTTGGGCCCAGCTCAGGGTGATGCTGGCGTGCAACGTGTCCGTGACATGGAGATCCCTCACGGGCCCGGGGGGTCCTGGCCAGGCACCACAGGGTGTCAGGAGGGGCATCACCTCTCCTGAGGGAGGCCCCTCGGTGGCCACTCACTGGTTTTTCATGGGCGGCTGGGGATTGCTTTCACTTAGGGGTCCGCCTCCAGGCTTTGCTAAAGCACCTGCCTGAACCCAAACCCTTACTCTACCCTGGACTCTTCCTCAGTCTGCACCACCCATCCCAGCTCACCTCCTCCGGGAAGCCTCCCCCGACTCCTTCCACCCACTCACCAACCTGCCAACCCCCTTCCCCTAACTGTCCTTCCATAATTCCCCCAATCTGCTGTTTTCATCGATGAGTCCTTAGGTTCCAACATCCCTGAAGACTAGAATTCTCTTTTTGTTGTGAGCATTAAGCTCCTAGTCAAGACTGCCTTGGGTACTTAGTCCATACTTTGTGCTCTTTACCTGTAAAATGGGCACAGTAACAGCACAGGCCCACCCACCCACGAGGGTTTCAGAACAAAGGTGTGAGGTATGTAAAGGGCTCTGTAGGCTGCACGGCGGTCCAGGGCTCTGGCCTTCAAACGGGGAACCACCTGGGGGCAATCCCTGGGCACCCAGCCCCCCAGACTCCCCGTGTCTCTCCAGGCCCCACGGCCACTTCCCCAGGCCCCGGCTGACACGGAAGGACGCCCCTGGCCGATCCACAAGGGCCAGGAACGTGCTGCTCCCCCAGGGTTTGTCACCAGCAGGCTCACGAGGGTAAGCTCAGGAGAGGCGCACAGAGCAGCTGTAGGCCGTGGAGGGATGCTTTGACAGGTGTTTCATGGAATAGGTATTCTCTGCTTGAATTTGGGAAATTTGGATCAAACAAAGCGGGGCAGGTTTCTCTTCTGTAGGGCTTGGAAATGTCCTAGGCTGCCTGTCGTGGACACGTGGACCACAGGTAATGCTGCTCTAGACCAGAAGTGTCCCAAGGATGCACCTGGTTCCTGACACAATGCCAGCCCCCAGCAGGTGACGATGAGAAGATGCTCGCTGGATGGAGAACTGATGGCGAGGCTCCCCTTTGACCACCCCCTCCCTGTAGGGATGATGCCCCCTCACTGGGGGATGCTTACAGGATGGGACCAAGCGAGTGGGCTGACCTGGGGAAGCACTCTTCCAACCCCCATCTCTGGCTCCTGGGCCTGTCTGCTCTCAGTGTAGGGCCTTAAGCCTCCAGGGGCCCCTAAGTTTTGCCTCGCCCTCAGGGCCTTTCGACCTTTATCCCCCAGCCATCCTGATGTCTCCTTCGGGACTGCCCTGGCCTGCTCATGCCACTGCCACCACCCTCTCCCGGGTTGGCACTCCACTTACTCATGGGGTCCTGAGCAAAGACGGCATCCGATGGGGGCCCAGGCTCCCCGGGGCCAGAGGGGGCCACGGCTGTGACCCGGAACTCGTACTGACAGCCCTGCCTCAGGTCCAGCACCGCCCACTTTTTCTTCTCTGTGGGAAGCCCACCCACATTAGTCCCGCCTGATGGGGCCGGGCGGTGCCTGGATGAGACCAGCCTGGCCCTACACCTCCCCGCCCCCCAGCCCCCAGCCGGCTCTGACTTGTCCTCTCCAAGGGGAGAAGCGTGCGCTCAGGGTCTCAGGGTCCGAATCCCTGTCTGGCTCTGCCACTAACGTGCTGGGAAGTCTCGGGCAAGTGCCTTCATGGCTCTGGTTCCCTCTGCCTTAGAGCTGCTGTCCTATTTAAATAAAACAGAACCACTCAGCAGTGTAGGTACAGAAGGTGTCCTCAGTCTATGGCCCTCTTTCCAGAGATGGGAGGCCGAGGCTCCGGGGGGCACAGCCTGGCACCCAGCACAGCCTGCCTGGAGCTCTGAAGCCCTCTTTCTCCTACTAGCCTGGGCTTGGGCTTTTCTGAGTTTGTTCTGGGCTCAGAAAGCAGTTTCTTGGAATCTACTCAGGGAGCGGGGGCACTTCTCCCCGTCGTCCTACGGATGAGAAAACTCACGTTAGAGAGAAACGTGAGCTGCCTGCGGCTGAGACTTCTAAACCAGGCTTTGGGCCACAGACAGTTCTTTGTTTGGGGAAGGGGCGGGGTGGCGGGGGGAGGGCACTGCCCTGTGTGTCGAAGGCCATGCCACAGCATCTCAGTCCCTTCACACGAGAGGCCACCCCCATCTTCCCCCTTCAGTGTGACAACCCCAAATTGCTGGATGTTGCCAAATGCGCCGGGAGGTAAACCACCACCCGTGAGACCGTCATACTAAAGTGATCTGGCTTGGTGCTGCCACAGCACCTCGGGCCGGGGGTCCAGGGAGGCTCTGGAGGCCAGGACGATGCAGACCACCGCCAGGCTGCTCACCAGGCACCGGCTGCTGGTTCACTGCCACCCAGGTGTTCCTTCCCTTCTTGCGCTTCTCTATCAGGTAGCCCAGGATGTGGGCACTGCCCGGGCCCTGAGGTGCCGTCCATGACAGAGTGACGCTTTGGCTGGAGGCTGACAGGATGGCTGGTGGGGGAGGGGGCCCGGGCAGAACTGGGGGCAGAGAGGGTGCTGGTCAGTCAGGGGCTGGGAGAGGCGCCAGCTCCCCGGGGGTCCTTGTGGAGGAGCGGACATCTGGGGCCAGCCACATGCTCGCCCTTCTTTGGGGGTGTCAGGGGTCTGAGCCAGCCTGAAGTTTGGGGGCAAGAGTGGTGGAAACAGGGAAACGCTGTAGCCTGGGGGCTAGAGCCAGCCCTGAGGCCCCTCAGCCCTGAGGCCCTGGGAGATGCTCCAGATGGAGGATGATGCCGGTCCGTCCCAGGGGCCTGAGACAGCGGCTCTGCCGGTTCACTCCCATCCCACAGAGCCACAGCTGGAGAAGACCCCGCACATCCTGCTTGCTGATCTGGCCGCCAGGTCCCAAAGAAGCTGGGGTGAGGCTCTCACAGAGCTCTCGAAGGGCCTCGAGACCCCCAGGGTGTTGGCTGGTGGCCCCCGGTCTCTGGGCACAGTGGGGAGCCCGGCACGTCCCCTCCCCGGCCCCGGGCTGTCCTCTCACCCTCGGGAGCCACCAGCACGTCGTCGGACTCCAGGGCCTCCCCAGGCCCCTCCGCGGTCACGGCCCGCACGCGGAAGCTATACTTCTTGCCCTGTTCCGCCTCGGCATCTGTGAATGTGGTGCTGTCCGCGGGGGCCTCGCCCACCTTCAGCCAAGTGCTGAGGCCAGCCCGCCGCCTCTCTACCACATAGTGCTGCAGGGCCTGGCCCCCGTCGTCCGTTGGGGGCCGCCAGCACAGGCAGACGCCAGCCCCGTGGCCGTCCTGCACCTCCAGGGGGCCCTGTGGGGGCTGAGGCTTGTCTGGGGAGCCCCGAGAGGAACAGGAGAAGGGGGGTCAGAGGAGCCACAGGGTAGGGGCGCTGGGCTCCCCCCATCAGCAGATGAGCCTGCCCGGGGCTGGAGGTCCTGGGTGGACATCACCTCGCGGCGTCCCTGGTCTCCACCCCGACATGCACACCCCAGAAGGTGACACAGAATGCACCAGCCCTGAGCCCAGATGGGCACGGCCTTCTGCCCACAGGCAGTCCCACCTCGCTGGCACAACTCAGGTCTGGGGGCCATCACCCACCCCAGCAACACCCCTAGGGCCTGGCGTGTCAGCTGCAGAGACACATGGCCCGTCTCCCCACAGTGGGATTCCAAACCAGTCTGAGGACGGGCGAGGACAGCTAGGGGTAGGTTTGGGTCTTAAACAGCATGCACATGAGGGTTAATACCAGGGACACCGCCCCCCCTAGGGCCTGCCCCGCTGCCAGGGAGGGCTCAGCGGGGCCAGGGACAGGGCTGGGGCCAGGCTGGCACCTAGGACTTGCAGGGTGAGCTCGGCCTGCACGGAGCCGCCCTTGCTTCTCAGAGCCACGCTGTACTGGCCGCAGTCCTTCCTGCTGGCACTGGGGAGGCACAGCCACGTGGAGCTGTCCCCCACTGCCACCTGGGCCCCTCTGCCGTCGCCGCCGGCCACCTCAGCCCCGTCCTTGCTCCAGGTGGCCTGGACCGGGAGGCAGCTCCGGAAGGCGACCTTCATGGTCACTGGCTCCCCCGCCTTGACCACCAGCGGCTCCCTCAGCCTCGCCATCATGTCGGGAGCGATGACCGGGGGCTCTGGGGAGAGGACAGGGCACAAGGAGTCAAAGACGGTGGGCGCCGGGCACCTGGGAGTGGGGAAGGAAGGGCCCAGAGACAGAGCTCCCTCCCCGCCTCGTGAGAACGGGCAGGTGGGACCCAGGGGCTTCATCTGCAGCAGGACAGACGGGGCCGGACCTCTCTGAGGACGTGCTGACAGGAATGGGGAGCGTGTGGGTTGCTTTTTAAAACCATCCCCTCAACCGAGGGTGAGACTCGCCACGGGCTGCAGGCTGGCGACACGTCCAGGCATTCAGCAGTGGCATGTATCGCCGACCAAGAGCCCGCCTGGCAGGAAAGGGCAGGGCCAGGCCTCACCGTGGACGGTCAGCGTGGCCTCACTCTGCTGGTCGCCGGCTCCAAAGCTGTACCTCCCAGCCTGGGTCCCCTCCACGTGGGCAATGAGGAGCCTGTGCTCCAGCCCGTCTTGCTCGAAGGCGACTCCGTCCTGGGCGCTGAGCTGGGAACGAGGCCACAGAGGACCGTCACCCGCCCCGTGCAGCCCCTCCCACCGCGGGCCAGGGCCTTTTCTAAGGCAACTGCGGGAATGAACTGAACGCTCATCGTGTGCTCGGCTGGAGCCAGTCACCCCCTTCAGTGTCTCACCAACTGTCCACTGTGAAGTGGGCACCACTGTTAGCCCATTTTACAGGTGCGGAAGCCAGAGGCCACAGCCGCGGTGAGTGGCCGCACTGGGGTCAGCCCGGTCCAGTGGACGCCAAGGCCTTGCTCCAGAGCCCTTGACTACCCGCTGCTGAGATGACAGCTAAAGGGTTGAGGGCTGTTCAGGGAGCCGAGAGCCTGTCTGACTGGGCCGAGGAGGCGGCTTCCGTACTGGCCTTGAAGGACAGGCAGACTTCCAGAGGTGCCCGGGCAGGACAGCAGTTTGGATGTGGAGGGAGGGCCAGGGGCGTGTACAGGGAGGGGTGAGTGGGAGACACGCCCACTTAAAAAATCCGGTTTATTCCAAGCGTACCAACTTGTCGGCCCTTTAAACTTCTCGCAGAGTCTGCGAGTCGGTACAAAGAAGAGTGAAAAACCTCTCTACTCCTCTCTGCTTCACTCATCCCTCCCCGCAAACCGGTTGGTAAGGAGCGGGTGGGGAGCGGTACCTTGACTCCATCCTTAAACCAGGCTCCGGGTCCCAGGTCGCTGGTGAGGGTGCAGGAGAGCACGGCAGCCTCCCCGCGCTGCACCTCCAGGTCAGCCAGGCCCTGGGAGAAGTGGCCTGTAGGGCCTGGAGAGACACGGGGGAGTGTGGAAGACGGGCGCCCAGGGATCCCCCTGCCACCCAGCCTCCCACCATACCCCGGGAGGCCACACGTCTTGCCAGCGAGGCCAGACCATCCGGTTTTCTCCGCAGGGCCCAGGCTGGTGCAGGGGATCTGGGGGGCCAGGGAGATGAGGGGCCCTTGAGTCACACAGGGCGACGTCTGGGGGACCCACAGCGAGTTAGTTCAACAAGTCCAGTGCTTTGGACACGGGGCGTCAAGACAGATACCAGGAGGGCTCTGAGCCCCGTGCAGCCCGCATCCCCCCTACAAAAGGAGGAAGAGCTTGCCTCCTGAATTGGGAAGAGATCCCTAGAAATGGGGGTCACTGATAGCAACAAACTCCTGGGTCTGGGAATGGCCCAGGCACCTCAGTGTCCAGGGAGCCCCCGTTGGCTCCCGCCTGGAGCCAGGGCGGCTGACAGGCACTTACCCCGCGCCTCCTCGGAGAAACCGCCAGCGCCAGGCTTGTGTCTGGATCCGGGACTCCGGCTGGCGTCTGTCCTCTCGCCGCGGACGTCTGACCCGCCCTCTTTGCCGGCTTTCCTGCTGCCCGGACGGCTGGGGGCCTTCCCTGGGCACCCCCCATCCTCTCCCCCAGGCGGTTGCCCCGCGTCTCTGGCCTTATGTGCTCCCCATCTCTTTGCTGCTCCAACCTCGACCCTGGACCACGTCTGAGTCCTGCTCCTGAACGGACCAAGCCTCCTTTCTGACCTGCCGGACTCTTTGGCTGCCCGGCTCTCGTACTCCTTTAGGGCCCCTGGACGTCGAACCCTATCATCCTTAGCCTCCAGGGACCCCTGCTCCCTCAGGAAGCCCCTTCCTCCCCTCTGTCCTGTGCCCAGCTGAGAGCCGGGGCCCTGGGTCCCCTGTGACCTGTCTCCAGAGCCTTTTCTGCCAAAGGGACCATCTGGGCCCTCCCAGGCTCCCTGACGTCCCAAATCCCCAGGCCTTTGGGTGGAGCCATTCTCCCTCCCAGCAGAAGTCCCCTTACCCGGGACACCTGAGTCCCCTGGGCCGCTAGCCCTGCTTCTTCCAAGACCTGAAGCTTTGCCATCCGGGAACCCTGGGCTTTGCCCCCCACCAGCCTCCTCTCTGCCTGGAGCCCCCTCCAAGCCCCAGGAGGCTTGTGGCCCTTCATGGGTCCCCCCAAAAGTGGCATCTTCCTCCTGAAGGGAGCTTGAAGCCCTGGAGCCTGGGGGCCGGTCCCTGGCACCTGTGCTGTCTTGGCCAGACCCCTGGTCTTCCCAGCCTGGGCCCCAAGCATGGCTTTCTAGGTGCCCACTGGCGGACGCTGACATGGATCTGCCCCTTTCCCCGGCCATCCGGCTGCTGTCCAGCCCCTGGCCTGTACCTGCTGAGCCCCCCAACCCTGCCCCCATCCTCCCACCACCCAGCTGTGCAGCCCCGGAGCCCTGAGGTGCCAATGCCCCCTGGCCAGCCGCTGGACCCCTGTCTGCTGCCCCTGGACCTGCTTCCCAGAAGGCCTGGTCACGTCTGGATTCCCAAGCAGCTGTCCCTGCCCAGGTGTCATCCTGCGCTGCCCCCCGACCGTCAGGAATCCCAGAAGCGCCCACACCTGCTGCGTGGCCTGCAGACCCTCCCTCCCCACTGGGAGCCCCTCTGTGCCCAGGGGACTCTGGGAGCCCAGAGCTACCTTGCCATCCTCTGATGCCCGACTCTCCCTCCGAGCCAACAGCCCCCCATGCCTCAGGGGTGCCTGGGGGTCCAGAGACCCCCAAACCACTCTTGGAGCCTTGCCCATCTGAAAGCATCTGAGGGCCTCCGTGGGTCCCCAGCAGCCCTGGGCCCCTGGGCCCGTCCCCGTGTGCTGTACTGTCTGCGGTGCCAGGCCTCGTGGCCATCCCGGAGCCCAGCCCAGCACCTGCCCCTCCCACGAGCCCCGTCCCTCTGCCCCTCTCCGGACCATCCTTGGGACTTGTGCCACCGTAAGACCCCTCTGGGGGTGCCCAGTATACTGACCCATGTGCCATGGCTTCCTGGCTTCTGGGTCCACCCTCACCTCCCGTTCCAGGTGGTGAGACTGTTCCTCCAAACCTCCCTGAAGCATCTCTGCAGCGCATCTCAGCCCCTGGCCCCATCTCCCCAGAACCCCCTGAGGTTCCCCTACACCCTACCTCACTCCCTGACTCCATTCCCTTAGTACCCCTCAAACCGTCCCTGTAACCTGCCTCACCCCCTGAGCCAGTTCCTCCAGAACCCCCTGAGTCATCCTTGTTACCAGCCTTAGCGCCTGACCCCATTTCCCCAGAACCCCCTGAGTCGTCCCTATAACCAGCCTTAGCGCCTGACCCTATCTCCCCAGAACCCCCTGACTCGCCCCTATAACCAGCCTTAGCGCCTGACCCCGTCCCTCCAAGGCCTCCTGAACCACCTGTAAAGCCTGCCGCACCCCTTGGCTCCATGCCCCCAGGCTCGAGACCCCGCGACGCCCCTCCGTAGGCTGATGTGCTTCCAGCGGGCAGAGGCCCTGCAGCTCGTGATCCATGCCCAGGGCCCAGCGCTTCACCAGATTCATCAGCGCCCCGGCTCTCAGAGGCCGGCCCTGCATGAGGAGCTCGTGCCGGGGGGCCCTGGGTAGCACCCCCAGAACTAGGTCCGTCTCCAGAGCCCCTGGCACCAAGGCCCCTGGCTCCGTCCGCATCTCGCACTTTGCCCGCTGCCCTCAGAGACCCTGAAGCCCCAGAGCCATCTTCATGGCTTCCTTCTCCAGAAGCCCCCAGAGACCCCGGGGCTCTGAAGCCCCCGTAATCCCCAGTCTGAACCCAAGGCCCTATTCTCCCCGAGCCCCCTGGTCCTGCCCCTGTGGCAGAGGCCCCGAGGCCACCTCGCCCCACAGACCCCGCTGTCCCCAGACTCCCCAGACCGCCACCAGGATGATGCCTTCCCACAGGGCCAGCACCCCCCTGGCCTCTGGACGCCTCCCCGGCCTCTGCACACATCCTGGCGTCACCCACGGGCCCTCCGACAGGCCCGCCTGAGCCACCCTCGGGACGAGCAAGTCCCTCAGCCCCACTTCTGGCAGGACCACAACCATCTCTGTTTCCAGACCACATCCCCCCAGGCACCTCCGAGCCGTGCCTGTCACCACCGCCAGCCTCAGACTCTGTCCCCCCAGGGGCCTCAGAGGCGACTCGACCGCCAGCACGACCAGACCCCCCGGCTCCCAGCCTCCCTGAACCATCACTGTAACCAGCTCCGTATTCAAGGCCTGCTCCCCTGGGGGCCCCGAAGCCATCACCGAATCTAGACTCCGTTGCCGCCGAGCCTCCCGCGCCATCCCTGCGGCCCATCTCACCTCCAGGTCCTTTCTCCCTGGAGCTCCGTGGCCCATCCCAGAAATCTGGCTCAGACCCCGTGGCCCCTGCACCTCTGAACCCATCCGTGTCTCCCAGTGTCCCACCAGGGCCCAAAGGCCCTCTTAGCCTGTGGCTTCTGGCATCCACTCCCTGACCAGAACCCATCAGCCCAGCCACCTGGGTGCCCCCCTCACCCCCTTGCCCCCGACCAGACCCCAGCACTCCAGGCCCACAGTGGGCCCCGGATTTTCTGGGACTGGACCGTGTGTCATCCCAAGGGCCTGGGCCCTCAGACCCTATTCTGCCCGCCTCTCCTGTTCCCCTCTGCCCGGCTGTCCACGCTCGGGAATCCTGGGGGCTGCTGGAGCCATCCTCTGCCTCGCTGAAGGTCCCTGCCGTCTCCGGGCCCTCCCTTCCCCTGAGCCCCTGTGGGCCCCTTTCCCAGCCCCCAGGACCCCCTGGGCCTCCAGGGCTGGTTGTGTAGCCCCTTCCGCCATCCCCAGACCCCCGTGGGCCTCCATCACCTGCCTCCTGCAGTGAAGACCCAGCTTTGGCTTCAGGACCCCTGGGCCCCAGGGGGATGCTCCCGCCACCAGATATCGGTGGCCCCTGGAAGTCCTTGCATTCAGAGGTCTGTCCTGGAGACTCCCCTGACCCCAAGGGGCACCCCCGGTCCCCACGGTCAGCATCACTACCTTTCCGAGAGCCCCAGGACTCAGGGCCCCTGCCTGCCATGGAGCTGGAACCTCTTCCTCTGGAAGGCTCCAGGGCCCCAGGAGCTCCCACCCTGCGGCGGCCCCTGGTGTCCCCCAGGCCAGTCCCGCTGCCCTGTGCTGCCCCGGCCGCTCCTCTACCCCTTTCCCT